AGGTGGATTGGACAATCCTCCTCCTGGCATTGGCTTGACTCTGTATGTGAATGTGGCTGGTTGCCAGGGAGACCAGGGGCTGCTCTGACTAACTGGGGTTTAAAAATATTGATTTATATGGTATATATTCACAACAAGTGTCTGAAGAACATAGAGTATTTTCCCTTCTCTGCAGATTATTTTTCACTGAGAATTGATATGGAGAAAGGAAGAAACAGGACTGAGGACAACAACATTATAACTGCAACCACAATGATTTCCTGTCATGCCATCACCATTCCTACTTTACTGTGCCAGGTTGAAGCATGGACAGCTTTCAGGAGCAACTTAATAGGATTGCCATCTTGTGTGCATTTAATATGTCTAAACATTACAAACTCACAAAGCATGCTTTTCCTGCCACTCTTGCTCACACATTTTGTCATTTCATACTCTGGGGGTTCTCTGCAGGTACATAATATCCCCTGAAACCATGTTTAAAGAGTCTCGTCTCATATATTAAATGGAGTTTAAAACAAACTTTCGGGAGAAATTAAAACTCTATAAACGCTATAACGATCTCGTCTCTTGCTGATCTGTTTGTGTTTTGTTTCTTCATCCTTTCCTCCAGCCCTTTAACCTTGCAACAGCTTCCTGGCTCATCCTTCAGTAAAGCTGTGTCTGGAGGTTTGGGTTCTGACTGTCCTATTCTTATGGACAGATTGTTGTTCTCCTTGACTAGCTAAGTTACCCCCAGTAAAACTCATTTTTCAAATAACAGTTCTTTTCTACCTCAATTAGAGTTTGACCAATCTACTGAAGTATTAAAAATGAAGGGTGACATTGCATGTCTATGCCACCTACAGTAGCAGTTTTACAGATGATAGGAACCTTATATATTTGCAATAGGTTCTTTACATTTCCCATAAATTCACCCACAGACCAGCAACAGATATGGCTTAAATGCCCTTTTGATTTTCTTACACACATAGTATGTCCAAGAAGCACACTTGATTATTAGAGGTTCAACTTTACATTTAGGAAGGAAAGGAAATGGAATGGGAATCACCCCCTTTTATACAACACAATTGTCTATAATCAAACAGTAAGAAACCATCTGTTCACAATAGACACCATTGAGAAGCAGAATTGATGACAGCCAAAAAAAAATATTCCTCAATATCCAATCTCTCTGGTCTCTTCACTGGCCAGACTGTAATGAATTTCCTCCATTTGCACCACTTCTGTTGCCTCAGGCCTGTTCCTTTTGTAAAAACAATCCCACCACAGTATTCTCAGTTCCTGGATCACTAGTCCCTCTTTCCTGAGGACTGGTAAAAAGCGGCTTCCCTTGTTCTGTCTGTCTTGTGCCAAGGGGCTCACAGGAGGAAGAAAGAGCACCAATCTGTTCAGACTCAGATCTTTTTAATGTTTTTAATGTTTTGGTTCGCGAATCTGCCTCAGAGGGGGTTCTTCTACTGTCTCTGTCAGAGGCACGTGTGCCCAGTTGATTATCAGGAGGAAGCTTGGGTCGTTTGAGAACTCTAAGTCTGCAGATCTCCAGGTGCCAAGGGCCTGTTCACGTCTTTGTTTCATTTTCTGGACTTTGGGGGTAGGAAATAGACACAGGAGAAGGACAGACATACAAACACACATTGACGCAATTCTGGCCACCAAGTGCAAACTTAATTAAACACAGCCCATAAGCCTGTCCTTTCCTCAACTGTTTGCATTCTATGACACATAAATTGCTCAAAAAGTGCACTCCTAGACAATAAACACTGTATTTGTATTGTTTTGTAAGTTGTAACAGTATTTTTGTTGTCACAACCTTTGTTGTCAGCATTAGCAACTCAGTGCTCTTCAATTTTTTTTAACAATATACTGTAACTAAATTGATTTGTAATATTAGATAATAATCAGTAATTATATTATATACTGTAGTATGAAATGTTTGTCTTAGTCTTAATTTTAACTGACTTGGCTTTATCCAGCTGAATTCTTTCCTCCACCAAACATATCTCTTTAGAAAACCAAAAAACTCACCAGTGTCTTTTGTCAATCACATACTGTATGCTTCACAAAACAAAAGTAAAAGCATTTGCAAGCTTCATCAAATTATGACAAAGCTATAACAGAAATTAAGGAGGAAGGTTAGATGCTAATCTCTCACACCTCCACTTGCCTTTGTAATTCTCGCACTCAGAACTTCCTGTATCTCACCCCTCACGCAGTGCATTTTTCATAGCACTCTGCATCTTGCTTTGTCACAGCGGAAAGGGAGGCAACCCCTGGGCCAGGACCCCCAGAGGTTTAAATTCTCCCACTGGGAGTTTTTGTTTTCCTCGCTGTCAGTTCCTCATAGTCTTCTATTGCTATATCATGTACCGTTCTATACTTCCTCACTGCATTGTCACAATTCATGGCCTTCAAGAGACTGCATCGCCCAGCAGTTGGTTCCCTACACTCATCAAGCAACGCCTGCTGCTACAGCTAGCTGCTAGTGCTGCCACCCATCCGCCATCTCTCATACTTGCATCCACAACACACGGTAAGCGCTTCTCAAGTGCCGCATCCAAACCTACTTGCTCACACAAGCACAAGCTTGTATCATACTTGCACCATATGCATTCTGTCGTTTTGTTATTGGCTAAAATTCCCATAGGTTCCAGGGAAAGTGCAGCCAAAGGGACTTGCTTTCAGCTCATCGTTTGGAACTTTGCAGAGGTGTTTTGGGGTATTCTTTTTGGGAGGTCTGGCCTTTGAGGCCATTCTCTCAGCAAGGCGAGCTATGCCAAATGTATTCTGTATATCTCATCTCTCTTGCATTTATTAGGATATAACTGAGCTACTGAACTTAGAAGTTCTAATCAAATATTTGTGCGGAACTCGCATGTCCACTCACCTACATACAGTATACTGTATAAGTCTCACACTAGGGACTCCCCATAAGAGTGTGTTAGACAAGAAAGGTGGATTTGCCCCAACAATGATCTTTTATCTTAGGTTAGTAGAACACATGCATACGAACGCATTACACAAAGAGACCCTAATCTAGCATGCCACTTTTGTATTTCACAGTTGTCATTCTTTGCACTGTTCCAGCTTATCCAGAACATAATGAAAGCTCTGGCTACAGCAACAACTCCAACAACGACTACACCGCCTACAACAAAAAAGCCATTAAATGAAAATGACAATGAATGTGTCTTATAAATCCTAGTCTAATCTAACTTTTTCTGTACTACCTTTAAGTTTGTAAAAGTAATAAAGTAACAAAAAACAATAAACTTACATGAAAAAAACGTGCAAAGCTGGTAAACTTATTTTTAACATGTTCTGATTTCTTTCCTTACGGATATCAGAGGTTATAAAGCAAAATAGACGTATGACAGAAACTGTAGTGCTGAAAGCTGTTTACCTGTCACTTGGGATTACAGGCACTATACTTTACCCCTGGGCATCAAAGACATGTCCAACATTAGGGTGCTTCACAGCGAAGTTATTGACTAAACAGATACTGCAATCTAAGCAAAGAGCACATAAACAAAAATCACAACATGCTAGCTCACGTTGATAAGAAGTTTGATCATTTCTACCATGATCCAAAACAAGTTACGGGGTGTTGTGACTCAGCAGTGAGGCGAAGGGAGCCACCTCTGTACGACAGCCTGAAGAATCCTGAATCCCGAATCCCACTGAGGTCAAGAGGAGAGGTGAGAGCTGGCGGGGGGGATACGCGGTGCAGGC